AGGAAAACTTGTCACCGGGTCAAACAGGTGTGTATAAACAGTCTACACAGCACTCCTTCTCTGCCATCTAACAGCTGCATGCACGCTGTGCTCCCTTCTTTATAGTTGCAACATGCCATTACACTGGCTGGGATGTTGCCAACACTATAAATCAGTACTTGTATACTTTTAAATGGTTTTTTTTCATCTATAGGAAAGAATACGTAGCTGCCTTTGTGAACTACGTCTTCAACAAATCAGTGGAGAGAGTGTTTGACGAGTTCAAGAGAGGGTTTTTCAAAGTGTGCAACATGGACGTGGTGGACTTCTTCCAGCCAGAGGAGCTGCAAGCAGTGATGGTGGGCCAAGAAAACTACGACTGGGAGGTGTTCAAGAAGGTAAAGAGATATAAATTTGAAGAGATCCAATATTGATGCTAAGATTTTTATTCATAATCTGATTTTTTTTTTATTTTTTAATTTTTTTATTCACCATTATCTGAATGAGTAATTTTCCTGGCCAATGCAGGATAGTTTAGCACGCTATGCTATGAATTCCCTAAAACACCTGAACCATATGTGTCACTATAGTTCAGTTTGACCAAAAGAATACAAAAGAATAGCTGCTTGTGTGCACACTTGCAACGTAACATAAATCAGGAATTAAATTTAAAGCTTGCACTCTGCTTATGAAATTAGCAGAATGACACCACTGACACCTAGTCTGGTGCCAGTGGGATTAAAAAAATGTAAATGATACACATATTTCATATATGTCCTTATTTTTATGTTCCCAAACAGAACACATTTTATGAAGGCGAATACCATGATGAGCATCCAAACATACTGGTGTTCTGGGAGGTGTTTGAGAGCCTGACAGCAGAGGAAAAGAAAAAGTTCCTTTGTAAGTATTTCATCATTAGGCTTGCTGTCATTTCCATTTACGTCTATCAGTTTTGGCTTACTTGACATGTGTTTCTTGATGTCCTGCCAAAAATTTGTGTAGCATTTCAGATTCCGTTTTTCACTTATCCTCTGTTATTTTCTTTCGTCCTCAGTGTTTCTCACAGGCAGTGATCGCGTACCCTTCCTGGGAATGGAGAGCATCAAGATGAGAGTGGCTGTGCTGCCCGATGCTTCTGAACGCCATTTGCCTGAATCGCTTACCTGCCACTTCCTGTTGTTACTGCCCATCTACAGGAGATACCCAGTCGAGAGGACGATGCGCACAAGGCTTCTCCAGGCTATCAATCACAACAGAGGCTTCCGGAAGAAGCGACACACCACAGAGTGAAGCAGCAGGGGTTTCGTTGTAAAGAGCCCATCTTAGCATCGGTTATTTTTCGGCTCTTCTTGCTTTACAATCTGTGCTATTAATTTTGAGTGATATTTTTTTATTGTTATTACATTTTTTTTTTTTTGTGCTTTTAAAATGAACACAAGCTTAAATCTTCAATAAATACAGTGCTTAGCAAATTTCTTACACCGCCCAGTTTATGGATTAAACCACAGTATTGGTAATTAATAAAATAAAGTTTTAATGGTTCTGTAGTGGTTAATCCACCACTGTGCACAAGCTCTCAAAATTCTGATTTGTAATGCTACAAAATAACCATTGTTATCTGTGAATTTTCAGATTCAGTTTTGCAAATAAGCGTGTCAGATTTGTTATTTTATTTATTTTATTTAGTTTCAGGGGTTGAATTGTATCCTCAGAGAAGTCCTGTGTGCCCGCTCAAATGTGGGTAAAAAACATGAGCCCACTTTGTTGTCTGCCTAAGAAATAACAGTATAACGTTTAGTTGTAAACAAGTTTTTGACAGATTTCTATAATATTTGTGTAAGAAATTTGTTAAACACTTCATGTCATACCTACTTAGAACATACTTAGATTAGGAAATCACCTTTTCTTGCATTTGTACCTAGTAAATCATCTTAATAAATTCTCTGCTATGCTGCCTAGTATTTTATTATTTTTGTATTATTACCACTTCTCTGGAGATGAGCTACACTCTGACACAACTCAGGACACTACCTCTGCTCAATAATGAGACACAATAACAGTACCTTCATTACAGTCAATATATATGGTTACAATAATAAAACTGAAAATGATAAATTACTTGACTCCTTGGAGGAAAGAATTATCTTCTGGCTCTCCAAATACACAAACTCAATCCTCTTCATTGGTGGAGACTTTAACATCGCTTTAGGTAATATGGTTGATAGATGGCCTCCAGGGCAGCAGTCTTCATACAGTACAAACTTTACAAATTTCATGGCAAAATGTAATGTTGTGGATATTTGGAGAGAAAAATTTCCAGATGATAGACTCTTTACTTGGAGCAATGAGACAGGATCCAGGCAATCACGTATTGACTTCTGGCTTGTTTCTAATTGTATTGATAAAGATAATATTACTGTTAATATACTTGCCACCCCTCTCACTGATCATAGAGCAATTCACATTAACATCCAAATGCTTACTCTGGATAATATACCTTACAAATTCTCCTATTTGAAGTTAAATAATTCCTTACTAAAGGATTCTTGAGAAGATATGGGAGTCAAATGACTAAATTCAGGAAGAAGTGATCAGCAAACTGGCCTCTCATTACCAGAAGTCCTCAGAAAAAACCTCGGAGGAAGATTTTACTAGACCTTCAAAATAGATTGGACGGTTTATACCGACGCAAGGCTGAGGGTGCTTTTGTAAGATCCAGGAAGAGGTGGCTGGAGGAGGGAAAACAAAATTCTGCTTCCTTTTTCAGGCTTGAAAAATACAGATCAAAAACAAACTCTATTCATCAACTAAATATTAATGGCATTGTCTCCTAGGCAAATTTTTGTGCCAAATTCTATGCTAAACTGTACAACTCAAAATATAATGAGGACGTTTCAACACTATTTCTCAATAATATTAAAAACCTAAAAACTATTGATGTGGACGATAGGAGTCATTGTGACAGCCCTCTGATGGTGGAGGAAGTTTCTAATTCCATTTCTGCACTTAAGGCCAATAAATCTCCCGGCACAGAGGGTTTAACTGCAGAGTTTTACAAATCATTTTCTAATCTCCTGGCTCCGTTCTTACTACAGGTTTTCAAAGAAAGTATAGAGAATAACACCCTCCCTCCTACTCTTACTCAAGGTCTCATAACACTTATTCCAAAAGACTCACTTTTTATTGATAATTGGACCCATCTGTCTGCTCAATAATGACAATATGGCTTTAGTACTTGTTAACAGAATTTAAAGAGTTCTTGAGACACAGTCAGGCTTTATGAGAAATAAGCATATTTCTAATAACATTAGACTAGTTTTGGATTTACTTGATTACTCTGATTTGGTACCAAATCAGATTTCCATGTATGTCAACTGCAGGTGTCCAGAGTGAGGACAGACTGAGGGACCCACTGCTGCACATTATCTGTGAGGCTTTGCACCCCTGATGATCCACCAGGACAAACTCAGCAGTGTGTGAGGAGGAGGAAGAGCCAGCAGCATCTGACAGATGGAGAGAATAGACAGACTTTAATGTTCAGAAACCTAAAGTATGTATCAGCAGCAGAATGGAGCTAAAAATAAATGTCCATGTTTTTTTTTTCAGTTCTATGAAGCTTGGAGTATTTTGGATTAGTAGCACTGCTGTGTTTGTTGCATCATATTGCTGTAATTGTTTGTATGCTTTATATATTTTGAGGTAAGTTGATCTATAGTGTTACATCATATTCTATAAGGATGTTATGTGTTTGGATACTTTCTGCCCAGTTTGACCCATTTAGCAGAAGTCAGCCTGTTTAAGGCTCTGATATCTATTCTGTAGGTATGACTTTCTCACCCAATAAAGGAATATGCAATATATCAGCCAACTCTTCATTTTATCACAAACAGTTATCACATTTTAATTATTAAATAATGGTACAGAAATAAGGCCTCATTCTGTATAAGAAAAATTACCAGTACCGGGACTGTACGAGGGAAATTTCTTTTGCAGTTCATCTGATACGATAAAATTACTTATTATATTTTCCAGTGTTATTGTTTGTTTTTTGCTAGGGAGAAGAGTATTTATTTTTGTTATGAGAATCAAACTGGTTAACATTCATAGGTGTTCTCAATAAGCTGAATACATCTAATTTCTGAAAAATGCAGATAGCTATCATTTCAATGCGATTCTGAAGTGTAATACATGTTTTGCTAGGGAAAAGTGTGCATTCAGTGACTGGTTGGTGAGTGGTTTCGGGAGGCTAGTGGCACTCTCAAGGTGAAATTAATCGCAAAGACCGAAAACCTTTGGGTGCTTGACTCCAAGCAGATTGCCATTGTTGCCCACAGTTTGTATGACACCTAATGGCTGCAAACAGTAACAAAGTACTTGTGGAGTATTAGCGAAAATGTGAAAAGTAGAAAGCAAACCGGAAACACTTTCTTAGGTTTACTTTGTAAGCAAACATTATCCGCTTGTTTGTGTTGCACACTTTCAAGTTTTATTGCCTCTCCACTAGTAGGTGGCAAGTGTTCGCAGGTAAGTCACCATCTTTCATGCAAACTACAGGTAACCATGGAAATCTGGTAGCAACAGCATAGATGTCAAGTTAGACACTGAAATAAAAAGGGCTTTAGGTGAATGCACTACACAACAACCCCTAATCTTTAAACTTAACCACATTTGTCGCCTCTGACGTTCAATCTTTCACTCTTCTCCTGTAGAGACGTCCTGCAGGGGGGCAGAGGGAGGGAACAGCGCAGACGTCACCGACTCGGCATTCGTTAAGAGTTTCACGACCGCTATCAATAGCAGTGTGAATTATGCAACATATATATTTTCAGAATCAATACAGAGTGTGTGAACAATGGGGGTTAGGCATTATATGACATTTCTAGACGAGTTGGGTAACCCTGGTTTCCAGATAGATGTTTTTACTCATGTTGCTGGACAATTACAGCCATTAAAAAAAAAAAAGAAACATTAGAAGGGGAAAAGCTTTCATCGTCCAAACGTTCAAGCAGAGCCAGTTGATCATTTTCAAACCCAGATTTGAGTTCTTTTTATTAAGTGGACGGTCTGTCTGAGGTTACCGCTTTTTCTTGGCTCAGAGATATCACTCATGAAACATTTGCAATAATACTCTTGCTGTACACAAACAAACATACATACATAAATACTCCTAAAACCCCCCCCCAAAAAACATAATTAAGCAGTAATTACACAGTAGAAAAAAAGAAACTTAAAGCCAATTGCTCTTGCTACAAAATTGCGAAGACTTAAAAAAGGCAATGCTAATGAAATGGCTGTGCTGTGAAACGGCGGTAACGCCTCGCATCTTCTCTAAGTCGTCTTGTAGCGTGTTGTTCAGCTCCACATGTACGTGGAGTCTTCATGTCGCTGTGTGTTTCATCCAAGTCCAGCTTCTTTGATATGTATGTTGTGTTTATTTTCTTTTTTCAAATTTTAGTCAGGTGAGATGACGAGTTCTATGTGCAAGTGCTGGAGTTTTTATCTGACGAGGTGGAAAGTGAGCCAGTACATGAAAATGGGCTGTGCTGCTGCTATAGCCATGGTGAGGTACATCCTCAGTTGGTTTCTGGCTCCTCTCACTAGCTTCCCTTCTGCTGCTGCTTCTGACAACAGCTTCAGACGCAGAGTGCGTATCTGAGGAGAGACAAGCAAAAGATATTTGAAAACGTTTTATTTGCAGCTCTAGATTTTTTAACCTGAGCATCCACCAAAGTAGCTTTGCAAAAAGACAAATTTATATTATACTGTCTTAAACTGGTGGGTTATACAGTACAACCCCCTCAGTTCAACTGTCGGACACAAACTCTTTTAATGCCGCTTTCTTTAACACCCATCTCCCTAAATTGTCTTTTTCTTCTGACTGGCTGCTCCTTGACTCATCAATGCAAACAGCACAACACATTAGGAAATTTGTGCTAAACAGATGTCGGGGTGGAACAAGAGTACAGGAAAAACAAATGATACAAAAAAACTTGAAGGCTAAACGTCCGGCTCAAAAGGATTATTGCAGTCTCTGAAACTTCGGCCATGTTTAACAACAGCACCCCCAAGTGGAAAAAACGTAAGTCTGCAAATTACCTGACCTGTCTAACTTTTTATCTTTAAATATGACTACCCCAAGTTTCAGGAAGTTATGATAAAAAAAAAAATCACAAGGAATTTATTGTGTGGATGCCCTCAAAGGCATCCACACTATTGAGTTCCTGTTTCTCTTTATTCTTTATTCTACTTTATTCTAGTTGCTTCCGTACGTTTTTTGCCGCTTAACTACTCCCTCAGTTTTTGTGCTATTTGCACCGTTCAAGTCTTAAAAAATTCTGCTCTTTCTGGCTATATCTTTTGGTGCTCATAACTTCTATACTTTTTGAGATATTGAATTTTTTTTTGCAATATTTTTTGCCTATTTCTGCATATTATCAGTGGCCTCACAGATTTTCCTTGCCGGCTTGACCTGTTGATGCTAAGATTTTTATTCATAATCTGATTTTTTTTTGATTTTTTGATTTTTTTATTCACCATTATCTGAATGAGTAATTTTCCTGGCCAATGCAGGATAGTTTAGCACGCTATGCTATGAATTCCCTAAAACACCTGAACCATATGTGTCACCATAGTTCAGTTTGACCAAAAGAATACAAAAGAATAGCTGCTTGTGTGCACACTTGCAACGTAACATAAATCAGGAATTAAATTTAAAGCTTGCACTCTGCTTATGAAATTAGCAGAATGACACCACTGACACCTAGTCTGGTGCCAGTGGGATTAAAAAAATGTAAATGATACACATATTTCATATATGTCCTTATTTTTATGTTCCCAAACAGAACACATTTTATGAAGGCGAATACCATGATGAGCATCCAAACATACTGGTGTTCTGGGAGGTGTTTGAGAGCCTGACAGCAGAGGAAAAGAAAAAGTTCCTTTGTAAGTATTTCATCATTAGGCTTGCTGTCATTTCCATTTACGTCTATCAGTTTTGGCTTACTTGACATGTGTTTCTTGATGTCCTGCCAAAAATTTGTGTAGCATTTCAGATTCCGTTTTTCACTTATCCTCTGTTATTTTCTTTCGTCCTCAGTGTTTCTCACAGGCAGTGATCGCGTACCCTTCCTGGGAATGGAGAGCATCAAGATGAGAGTGGCTGTGCTGCCCGATGCTTCTGAACGCCATTTGCCTGAATCGCTTACCTGCCACTTCCTGTTGTTACTGCCCATCTACAGGAGATACCCAGTCGAGAGGACGATGCGCACAAGGCTTCTCCAGGCTATTTTTTGCCTATTTCTGCATATTATCAGTGGCCTCACAGATTTTCCTTGCCGGCTTGACCTGTGTTTTAGCTCAGTGAGATGAGCGTCCGTTCTCAGACTGGGAGGCTGGGGTTCAAATCCCGCTTATGGCAACATTTCTTTCAGTCAACAGTTAAACTTTTTTAACTCTTTTCAACACAAATTTAAGCTTTTTCACCCCTTTCAGCACATTTTTCAGTTTTTTCACCACTTTTCAGCACAAATACCAGCTTTTTCAGCTGTTTTCAGCAAAAACCTCTTTCAGCAAAATTCTGCTGATTGAACTCTTTTCAGAAGAAATTCTGCTGATTGAACTCTTTTCAGCAAAATATTCAGAGTTTTCACCTCTTTTCTGCCCAAATTCTGCTTATTCACCTCTTCTGTAAAATTTTCAACCTTTCCACCTCTTATCAGCACAATTCTCAGCAGCTTCTATGTCATCTCTTGTGTTGGAGTGCCCTCTAGTGGCGCCTTTGGGGTAGTGCCTTATCAGCACAATACTCAGCCTCTTCTGCTCATTTCAGCACAATTGTCAGTCTCTCCACCTCTTCGTTGTGAGAAAGAGTGTGGCGCAGTGCGTTATTTACCTGCCTTGAGTACCGGAAGGGCCAGGTTCGAATCCTGCTCAGGGCAACATTTTTTTTTTCCAACTTTTTCAGCTTTTTTCAGCAGACATCTTCAGCGTGAAGGCATCCACACAGCATTTTCGCAGGAAATGCAAATTTTTCTAGTTATTATTATTATTGTTGCGATTATGTACTAAAAAATACAGAAGGATGCATTTGCACAGTTTGACGTTAGATCTATGAACCTTTAAGGCTTTCTGACATGTGTTCAAGCCTATAACCATCTTCAATAATTTTTCAAAAATAAAATCTGTACATCCATCCATCCGCTTATCCTTTTCAGGGTCGCAGGGGGCGCTGGAGCCTATCCCAGCTGTCATAGGGCGAGAGGCGGGGTACAGCCTGGACAGGTCGCCAGTCTGTCGCAGGGCCAACAAACTCCACACAGAAAGACCTGATGGTGGAATTGAACTCAGGACCTTCTTGCTGTGCAGCAACAGTGCTAACCACCGTGCCACCCTAAAATCTGTACACTAAAACAAAATTACTAAACGTAAGTAAATAATTTTACTCACCATGAAGACAAAGATGGCAGCACAGCACCACAGCAGAGACAGATAATATGCCGGCTTCCCAAACAAAAGGCCCGCCACTAAGCCTACAATCATCCTACAGAAACAAAAGGAGAGATATACACATTTAAGGCATGACACTGACAGATTCAGAGTAATAAAAGGCAAACAATGACACCAATCGGTACATACCCAACATATTTATAGCCAGCAAAGGCCAGCAGGTCTATAGTGGTGAGGTCTGTGTTTACAGTGACAAGGTAGAGCGACAGGAGGACCACCAGGACTTCCATGATTAACCACACCAAAGCTGAGCTTGCCTGAACTCCCAGCAGCTCTGGTGAAAACCTGAGGAAGTCCATAGAAATAACAGAGTCCATAGAAATATAACAGAGAATACTCTAAATCCTTTATTATGAACCTGTGGTGATGTTCTCCATTTTTGGCTTTAAGGTTTGAAAAGAACAGCCTTTAAGAAAATGAAATGGCTTAAACCAGAAACACATAAAACTACAAGTCTCCAAAAAGTGTTTAAGATGGTCATAACCGGAGCTTAGGGTCATACTCAAATGTGCATCACTCTGATAAAAACATGGATGCAGATGTACCTGCTCTGTGTGCCGAGGGCCAGTCCGGCCACCAGGATGTATGTGATGAAGCCCATGGTAGGAATATAAAGATCGGGAGCGTTCACATCAAAGCGCGGAGCCACAGGAGTGTCCTGCTGGTAGCTCACCTCCCAGTTCTGCAACATACATGATCACACACTTACTTTCAAACATGTAAGACCCAAAATAAACATGTTTTTAAATATTTGCGTCTATGTGAAGATATTTGAGACACATTACTTTTCAAGACAGACCTAGAAGCAGGTTTCTTCTTTTATCTTAAATATTTATGGAAAACCACAAGCAATCTCTACACATATCCACCAGAATGATTGACATTTAGCAGGTGTAAAGAGACTCACTTCGTGCATATATGGGAAAACTAGAAGGCCCAGCTTCTTCCCGACGTACACTGTGTCCACAGCAAAGTAGTACTTTAGCTTGGAAATTGGGATGAATCTATCCAGCTGAAACAAGCAAGCATGCGGACATGAATACGAGGCTCTGACTAACAAGGGCAATCACTGGATTTATTCTACCATTATTATGAGATTAAACATGAGCAGGATTTTACTGGACTCATTCCTGTTAAAAATTGGTGAGCTGCTCTTACGTTCTTGTCAACCATTTCTCTCCCCTGGGATGCCAGCGAGCTGCCATATGCCATGGCCAGATTGGACATGGGCTCTGACAGGAGGGTCTGACCAGGAAATCCTGCAGTTTGAGGGCCGGCCTGCTGGTTTCTGCCAATGTGACACAAGACAGGGGATCAGCTCAGTAAACATGATGATCTAATCAGCAAAAGCAATATTTACAACACATGCAAGCAGAAGACAAAAGACATGAGCTCGATAAAGTAAAACATGAGGTGTGGAATGTTGTCGCCCCCTTCTGGCACTGAGAGTATTTGTAAAAACACAGTCAAAGGCTTCTTCTTGAGAAGGAAAAAACAGCTTCATCCTCATTGGCAGGAGTCCCACCTGTATCCTGCCTGTGGTCCAGGCCCAGCTCTGCTTGTATCCTCAAACAGCTGACTGCCATCTGGACTGTCCCCTGGACTATTCCTTAGACGCATACTGGGCTCTGTGTAAAAAGACAGAGTTTGGAGAAGGAGAAAACACTCATGATGGATATCCGGGTAATCAATCTGTCCAGTTAGGAAACATGAACTATTGTGAACCCATTTCACCTGTTTTGGTGAATACAGGTGCAGTGGAGAGACATCGATAAGAGAGCCCCTAAAAAAGGTGTTTTAAAGAAAATTCTGCATTTAACTGGGGCCAGTGAAGTGACTTCAGTGCAGGGGTAATATGCTCAAATTTCAATATTAGTGTAAAGACACTGGTTGCTGTAATTGGGCCAAAATGAATCCGTCTTTCTGATGATTTGGATAATCTTGTAAATAAAGCGTTACAGATGCATGGACTAATTTCTCAGAGCCAGTTTGAGATCTGGATTTTCTAACTTTTACTATTCGTTAAGTGGTAGAAAAATTATTTAACTGTTCTCAGAAGGGGATTTTAATTATGAGAAAAAAAATCTGTCTCTAAGTTTTTGGACTCACAAACAAATATTTCCATCCCGTTTCAGTTCAGTTCTTAAAAGTTTCGAGACATCCAGCAATTATGAAGAGGTGTTAGATCAGAGGAAAAAGACAGGTATAACTTTGTATCATCTGCATAACAACAGTAAAGTACATTATTATTATTATTATTATTATTATTATTATTATTATTATGTATGATAGCAACAACTGGGATCGTGTAAAAGTTAACAAGTAATTGACTAAGAACACCCAAAGTTTTTAGACCACAGTGTGCTGTTGAAGATGCTGGTCTGAATTAGCTATGAAGAGAACTGTTAAGGAAAGTACACGTCTATTTACACAAAATAAATTCATAGTATGAAATCTCAGTACAGAAGACAGTCTTTTAAGTCATTTCCCTGAAGTATTATTCATATAATCAGACACTTGTCACAAGACCTGATTACTGCATCCTCAGGCGCCTACTGCTTGTTTAGACCTTGTTTTCCTCTCCCGTGTAAAGAGCAGCACACGGAAAAGAGAAGTCTTAAGAATGAAATAAAGAAGCTAAAAAAGTGAAATAAATATGTAAATATTACAAAACTGTTCTACTTTAAGCAAGAAAGCAAGCTTCTTCAAGAGGGCCCCCTCTGCAGTGGCTTGACACATTTTTTAAAAGCACAAAAATAACACTGTACATTCATTACTAATCATTAAACTGATCAGAGTTCAAATAAGCACTGTTTACTGCAAGCTCTGGCTCCTAAACAAACAAAGCTCAGCATAGAGGGAGCAAAAAAAGACTCCGAATAAGTAACGTCATCAGAGGGGACCGTTAGCCAGCCCAGCCCGTGCAACGGGAGACGAATTAGCTAGTTAGCATTGTCAACACATATTGTCGGCGCCTATTATATAATTAAAGCTCTTTAATTAAAGTTGAAAGTTAAGCTTAAATTCACCGTTTAACTGTCCGTGTTTACACAAGTTGTTTAACGTCAGCAGGTAGTCTCAACCGGCTGATAAGAGCGAGCTAACAGTAGCCAGCATCAAATGTGTGCATGCACCCGGCAAACGTATGAACTGAGCTAATGAGAAAATTACGTACGTAACTTACGCTGTCTGAACCCACTTTGAGTTGCAGTATAATCCATTTTAGAACAAGCAGGCGGTAGCGGCAGCTGTCAAACAAGCGACACTACTCGAAGTTGGTACTAGTTAGCGAGCTACACTGGGGAAGCTGTGGTCATTCATGAAATTTTACACGGAAGTGAATACGCTCTTCTTCTTCTTCTCTTGTAAATGTAGCGATGAACGGACGTGAGAGGTGAACACCGCCGTCTGCTGTGTCGAGGTTTCTTCACGTCTATGCCCACGATAACGTTTCTATTGGTTTTTGCTTTGCTGCATTAATCATGGGCGACTGTGACTGTGTTAATAACCTTCTACACATAATAGCAGATATTTATCCAGTATGTTTATTTTAACAGTTTTAACAGTGAGAAACAGGTAATTATTTTGACCATAGTCTTATGAAGTAATTATTTTATACATTTTTATTGTGTAGTTTTCAACAAAAACAAAACAAAACACAATGTTCCTGTAAGCTATGGAAGATGTATTAGTAATCTGTACAGAAACAGACACCCCCTATTACACGCGCACCTCATGGTTATTTTTATGGGTTGATAAAATTCGGTTCATATAACAGGGCTGATCTTTAATAGTAACTGGTGATTGTTTTATGATCTAGTATGGATAATAAGGATATGACATAAAATATAATATCAGTAGGAGTAATGTTATGAACACTGACACATTCAGATTTCTTCCTGTCTGGAATTACCTCAAGGCGTGCAATTAGATTAAACACTTAGGCTATTACATAACCAGTTATTGGACAATGGGGGCATTTATAGACAGAGCTGGAAGTTATATTAAGCTAATAAGTTGGCTCATTAATTTAGTATGTGTAGTGAATGTGACGACCTCTCTCTTCTGAGCCGTTTGAACTTCCCTGCATACTGCCCATCTGTAATGTTGCTATAGAAAAGACCGAATGCAGAGACTCACAGTGGTATATAATAACAGTATGATTCTCCTCTGAAAGCACCAGGAGGCTACAGAGTTACCAAGATGTTTGTGTATTTTGGTGCCTGAACATTTACACACATCTAGTTTGCAAACCAACTAAAGTTCACTCCATTAACTAACAACAACAAAACATCAGTGATTTTTTTAAACTCTGTGACTCTGGACATTATAGTGCTTATCAGACTGTCAGTCAGCTTCATTGAACTGGAAAAACTTACTGTACGTTACCGTAGCAATCACTGCTTACATCAAAATTGTCTGTAGAAAACCTTAGACACATATCTGACTATAATCAGTCATTTGTCATGTTGTAATTGGTCACACTGATCTAAAAATACCTATCCACGTTGGGATCTTGGAGATTAAAGGTGATGATATGTATTTAAGTGAAAGTGAGACTGAAATAAATTTAATAAGACTCTAAAACTGTACTAAATGTATCTTAAAGTGACTTTTTAAAAATGGACTAGTACTTAAAAAAACATTTTCTACTCAATTATTCACACAAGTACACTCTGAACCAACATTTACTTTTTTTGTTGCTTTTCTGTGTTCTGACTTACTGTAAAATAGACAAGACTTGGAATGTGATCACACTTGACTGCTTGGCTGCCCATGAACCATCACCCGTAATGCCTTGTTTTTGAGCGGCCCGACAGGAAAGTGTGACAGAGTATTAAGGCCACATTAAAAAAAATAAATATATTATTGATCATTTTGAGAATAAACACGAAATTTTGATATAAAAGTTGCTGTTTCAAGACAAACTGCTACATTTGCAACATCATCTGAGTTAGTGAAAGCAAGCGAAGAAGCATGCATGAAGTCATTTAAATCCACACCATTTAGTAACTCGTTGTTTTGACTGAAGACTAGATGGTTAAAAATAATGAGAATCTGGGGCTGTGAGCCTAGTCAGAGATGTGCCACTGACTTCCAAATATTAAGCAAGAAAATCAAACAAGATGTATAAAAGTGTGAATTTCGTGTTACTATTGCTGGCTTTATAAATAACTCATGAAGTTACGTTGAAACCAAGCACACCATTGTTTTTCTTGTGACATTACCAATAAGTTTGATGTGTCACATGGCCCTCTTCTTATTGAAAAAACAAAGTTGTATCCAAGATGGCCGACTTCTAAATGGCCACCATGGTCACCACCCATCTTGAGGAGTTTTCCCCCTCACATATACTAATGTGCCCCAAACAGGACTTTAATATCACCAACCATTCCCATTTTATTACGGTGTATCCATATAAATGGCCCACCCTGTATACATGGTACACATACACACACGCCTACATATAGCTATATGCTTGACTTTTCCGGCATGGCTCGGATTTGTTATATAACTAATGAATACCACAATAACTTTCAAGTTTTGCGATTGTTTTTCGCAGATTTCTGAAATATTTGTGCAACCTGAGTCTGTGAACAAGTTTATTTTAGCTAGTTTCAGATTTTAGTTTTGGTTTTATGACCTGTTACTAAATATTTTAGCTTTAGTGTGTGTAGCTTGTTCTCATATATACATAATATCCTATCTGCCCAACACCGTATGAGATTTCATCAGCTGTATCAGTAATTTTATGGGTGTTTTTTGTACACACCTCTTCTCGCTTGATCGACACTTGATGGACATGTCACTATGCATTATCACAAAAGATGACTTTCCTTTTTTTCCTTTCCTAGAACACCCAGCTATGTCTGACTGGAATAATACTTTTTCGTGGGCTAATCAGTGCTTTTTTTTACGTTACATACATCATTCAGCAAATGTGTTCTTCAGAATGTTTGACGACAAAAGAAAAATCTGTCTTTTATTCACTTTTATTCAGATAAATACGATTAGTTTAAAAGCATTTGGGGAGTTTCCAGACACAGCATTGGAGATGATTTACATAAAATAGCTTGGCCTTTACAGGAATCAAGAACAGCCAACACCCAGCCCCCAGAATGCGTTCCGTGGCTGCTTACACGACAGTGAACAAAAGATGCGGGGGTCACACCATCAGAGACTGTGCAGCGACTCTACTGCCCCCAAGTGGCAAAGAAAATAAATAAATAAATAAATCAAGTGACGCACATTTAATGCATCACCCTTAAAGCGCTAATTTCGCTCACTTTGTGCAGTCTATGAAAAACGATTATGCACGTATTAAAAAGATTAAAAGAAATGTAAATAACTTACTCTCTATATTAGGGGTTTCACAGGGTTTATTATATATATAGCACTTTTAATTCATTCATTCATCCATTCACACAACAGCCTTATTAAAAAAAACAATATGTGAAAAAATTTGTGGCTATGATGTCTTTTTTATTGTATTTGTTAAAGTTGTGTTTTACAGTGATTGGACGTGGAAGTGTGATAAAGAAATGCACCCAGTAAAACCACATTTCTTCCTGTGGGTTTTAACTGATAAACATGATGTGAGCACACAAACTAATTTTGGCAGCGAACTGATTCAATCTGTGGATCTGCTTCCTCTCTCTCTAATCGTACACATTTCACTTGTCACTCTTTTGTTTAAGTTGACTTTGTGTCTCACTCTCTCCACTGACAGCTGGAGTCACCAGCCCTCAGGCACCGTGACAAACTCTGTACTGCACAACGAAGCTCTGAAACAGCCCGGCCTACACATGGACATGCAGGGCACATAGATGTGGAGTAATTTTCTCACGCTAAATTATGACACACACACACACACACACACACACACACACACACACACACACACACACACACACACACACACACGGGTTAGAGCAGGGACTATTTTGTCATGCATTTGAAAATCACTGCAAAGGGCACAAAGTACTATAGAGGTCTACAGTCATTAGAGGCAATTTGTATCATCATCAAAAAGTATCTCTTTGTACGGCATACAGAGTCCCAGGTAGTGTAATTATTGTTGTTGCACTCTGGTACATTTGGATGTGAAAACATTATTGCTGAAATAATCATGGGGTATATAAAGCAGGAAACAATTAGCTGTTTCTGGATGGTCATCAGTACTTAGTGTTTGAAAATAAGAACTGAATAACAGGAAAGTTATTGCATTTTGTTTTTCAGAAATTTTTAATGATAGATTTAAATTAATCTTTAAGATATTGTTACCCTACCTAAATCAATATAAAACATAAAGAGGAAATCCTCCAAGAGACTATTTTAAACTTTGTTTTAGGACCTTTCTAAAGATGTAAATGCATATTTAAATGTGTGCTGCATTTCAAAAGATACTAAACACAAACCAGAAATGGAAACTTTTGTTTATAGTCAAAGGTTTCCCTCACCCAAAGAGCCAAAGAGCCAAAAATACATTTTTAAGAGACACTATAACAAAATAATAACCTATAACACATAGGGGAAATATTTATTATCTACATGATTTAATCACAGCCTGTGACTCCTTTATAATGGGGTTAAAAAAAACATGCACGCAATACATTCATAATTCAAGGATCCACCTTTGGGATTATGGGGTTCAATCCAAAGTAAGTTGTAAGAGGAAGACGTGGAGTTTAGTGCCAAAGCCATATCAGCATGCTTTATGTGCAACATGCACATCCACAAAGGCAGAGAGGGGGAGAGAGAGACATGTATTGAGAGAAGAAACTCTTCTGTGAAGCATGAAAAGCATTCACAAGTACACTGAGTGAAGCACAGCAGTGCCGTTTTGAAGCCCTCATACTCGTTTTTCTTCTCCTTTTATTTTCTTTGCTGTCAGCTGTCTGACTTCTACTTTAAAGACCGCCTTCTTTAGACGCTCTAGCTGGCAACCTTTGACCCCGGGACAATGGAATTATCACTGATGTCTGCACAGGTAAGGAAACAGAAATATGGTTATCCATATAAGCTCTCACTTTATGACTTTTAGAAGGATATTTAAAAAGTTTTTTTTTTTTACTAAAGAGGAGATAACGAGATACTGGATCATGGTAGAAACTGATTGAGACAATGTGATTTTAGAAGAGAGCACTCCCATCAGGATAAAAATGTGTCATCATAAGACAAAGAGGTAACACTGTTATAATACTTACTTCCCCTGTAATAAAATGGAATTTCACTGTATTTTGTTTGAAATTAATATGTATTTATATTTACCTAGAAGTACTTAAAGGATGATTTGCTACCCTAGAATAGGGTACACAAATTATACTGTAAGAAATTTGAAGTACTGTATAAATTCT